CAGAATGCACAGTCTGTATGGCCTCTGCTCATGTGCTCATGCCAGCCTCTCTTTCTGCATTGCCCTTTTCCCAATTCCTATCCCCTCTTCAGAGCCCATCCTCAAGTTACACCTCTCTTAATCACCCAAACTGAGACAGCACTTTGCCCTCTATGCTTCAAGAGTATAGAGTGCCTATGTCACTCACTTAGCTCTTCTATACTGCATTTCACTTTAAATTTTGGTACGTACTTGTACTCTTTCTCACTAGTCTGTAAGCTCCTTGTGTGCAAAGCTAAATCCTAAACCCTTAGGATCCCCAAAGCATTTAATACTTTATCTAGTGTGTAACAATGCACCAATAAATCCCTGAGAAATGGAATTCAATTCAACAAATTCTAACCAAGATCTAGACACAAGGCATCTTTTCACATGCTACAGGAAGATGCAAAGGTAAATAAGAGGTCTTTACTATAAGTGAGATGGGGTACTCTGGAGGATTCTGAGCAGAATGTTGATCTGCTATCATAGTCCAACCCTAATAGATTTTGTTGTAGGGGTGTTTCAACATAATTTCTTGGGGCTGTGCTTAACATATGAAGATTTATTTAACTAAGAATTTTTTTTTTTTTTTTGGTTTAAACAAATAAGGTGGCTGCTATTCATAAATTGCAAATGCCTTCCTCACCTTCTTTTACCTACATTCCTTTCCCCCTTGAATCTCATAATGAGTTGAGATGCAGAGAGTTTCATGGACCAGTGCCATTTCATGAAGAAAGCTATGATCTTCCGTAAGAATAGCTCCCTCTTATTGAGCCCTCAATAAGAATGTTCCTTTGCGTACCTCCTTCTCACAGATTCTCGCAACTATCCAGCAAGCTAGGCATTATGACTTCCACTTAAAAATAAGGAAACCAAAGATCCGAGAAGTTAAATCACTTGCCTAGGGTCTCTTAGCTAGTAAATGGTGGAGCTGAGAACTCAGTCTAGGCCGCATGATATTGCAACCTCTAAAACCATCTCAGAAAGGCATTCTGTTGAATAGCACGTAGGGTTTGAGGGCTCACTTTTGTGAGCCAGCCCTACATCGACATTATGCCTGTTGGAATATCACACAGCAGCAAAGTAATGCACGTTTCTCTGTCTTGTCAATTGCCACCCTTGGCCCTCAAGTGCTATCAAAAAGTGCCCCTTCATTCTGGGCTTAAAATAACTTGGTGCCTTCATCCTCGTGAGATGGTTGCCAACCCTTCAATCTCATCAGCAGCATGCCTCACATCAAACATGCCAGACAGTTTCCTTTAAACATGTCGAGACTAACCTGGTATGGAGTGGTGGGAGCCTTAGAGATTCTTTTTGTTTCCATGTCAGAGCTTTTTATGATTTTTGGTTCTGTGTGTGCATTTTCTGACAATGTACGTATTTCACTGTCTGGCTGGCCTGTCTATCCTCAGAACCCAGACTGGTGATCCCTCTAGCAATGCTAAGTAGACATATCCTTTTCTATCTCTGTGATTCTAGTGATGTGAAAAGTGACTGAATACACAGACTGATCCAGAGGTAGCCTTGTCTCTTGTTCTTGCAATGTGGGAGCAATTATATACTTGATTTTAATCTCAGGTCTGCAGGTTACCAAATGTGTGACCTTGGGCAGGTATCTCCATTTCTCTCATGGGGTGGAACTGAGTCTCTTTGCAGGAATAAATCTGTGATTTTTTGACTAATCACTCTTCTTCCACAATCTGTAGGATATTATTTGTCCATTGCAGCTTTCAGGGGTTTCCTAAAGTGATTTGTCACTAGAACTACAATCCTCTGGAAAAGAATAAGCATCAGACCAACAAGGGACCTTGGAGAACTTTAAATTCAGTGCCCGCATTTTGCTAATGAAGAACCTAAATCCCAAAGAGGTGCAGGTACTTACCCTAGCCCATGCAAATCCGGGACCAGAATCTGAGACTCAGCTCCCAATTAAGTGGCCTTTGTACATACTGCTTCCAGCCTCCAGGTCAGAAACGGACCTTGATATTCACAAACCAACCCTCCTGCCTTTTTTTGATGGACTCTAATGTATTCATTATGATGTAGCTACTCAGCAAAAATGTGTGGTCAGTTTTTTTGTCTCAGCAAATTCACACAAAATTGGAGACACTTTTTCTGGTTGAGAACACAGTTGATCTGAAAACATCCAAAACTTCAGGCATTTGGAGTAAAGCGCCTTGTTCAAAGTCATCAGGCAAATGAGGGGCAGAGCCAGAACTGGAAGTAGAGAGCTCCAGAGAGACACCTAGAAGATAATGGATGGTGACAGGCTATCCATACAGTCCTTCTGGCTTCCCGAAGCCCAGATGGACTCCCCACACTGTCAAATTGATAGATTGAAGCAACGGTGCTAAGATGGCCACAAATCCCCAGCACATGGATACAGCTGCACTTTTGTTTCTTTGTTTCTAGGAGGCTCTAGGTCAGAACATAACCTTCCCCCTTGCAAGCACTAGTAGAGTTGCCACTGGCCAAAGAGCACAGGACCCTAATGAGCGAGTTTCATGACCACTGGGATGTAAGCCAAGAAAATGGAGGCAGACAGAAAAGAGAGCTTGGATTTGTTTTTCAGGGGGTTTTTGGCTATCTCTTAAACAAATCTGACCCTAGGTACAGACTTGCCCTTTTCTAGTTCCAACTTCCCTGGTTATAAAATACATGTTTGGCAACTGCTCTGAAAGTTATTAAAGTTGCAGCAGTAAACTATGGGAGGCCAGAGAATTTCAGACAAAACTTATTACATCCGTAACTCAGAAACTAATTCCTAAAACTCTTGACACATTTATCCAGAGGGCTAGTGCCAATACAGAAATGGAAATCTTTGTCAAGGGCCACTGTGTACCTGGAATTAAAATCCATCATTCCTCAGAGCAGAGAGCTACGATTTTGGCAGAATATGAATAGTCATGCCTTTCACCACCATCTTTCCTCAAAAATAGGGTCCTTTATTTTTCAGAAAAACGAGAAAAATTCTGCTCTCTTTGTTTGTTTGTTTCCTTAAGAACCCCTAGTTTACATTTTCTTTTCAAATGTTTATTTGACAGTTCCACATTTAAAGTGAAGGGCCTCTTTTTCCTTATTCAATTGCACTGGTTTTACTTTGAATAGAAATCCTGCTGGGTACAGTAACAGAGAACAAACTTTACAACAGCAAAACCCCTTCTACAGCGTCTATTGTGGGGAAACTTAATACACTTTTATTAAATGGCTGAGGCATTGGCTTCGGTGATTGGAATTAAATACAGAAGAGCAAAGAAAGGGAACAAAACTACATTCCTCTCTCAACAGACTGCTACTGCATGCCCAGCAACGTGGCAGGACTGGAGACTCAAAACTGCCATCCAAGAGTGCCCCACTGAAAGACTATTGATTGCCTTAGGCAATGCCTTCATCACTAAAAGTTAGTAAAGACAGAAAAGACTTGATGGGTTCCACTGTTAGCAAGCAAATGGAGAAATGAGCCCTCTGATTCACTGTTGGAGGATTGACAATATGCCTCAGACTTTTAAATGTACATTCACTTTGACTCGGGTTCTAAGAATTTATCCTACGGAGGTATTTACATAAGTACACAGGGTTAGCCTCAGTATGATCATAAAGAGGAAAAATCAGGAGCAATGCACAGATTATTAAAAATGCAATCATTGAACTGATCGTGTAACCTATATTTATTGTCTCATGACATACCATTGAGTGGCAAAGTGCAGTCACAGAGAGCATATGTACTATGGTCTCATTTATGTAAAATTGTAGATGAAAGGCTGTTCACCTATGTGTTTACCATGGTTATCCCCGGATAATGAGCTTCTGGGTGACTTTTACTTTCCTTTACCAACTTTTCTGAATGGTTGGATGAGCATCACCTTATACTTTGGGGGAGGGTGCTTTAAAAATTTCTTAAAATAGAAAGCTAGTCTTTCCCTAAATTCCTTAGCACTTGTACTGCTATACCTAAGCCCAACCTAGCGGTAAGACAATATGAAACATTGTGATGAGTTCTGGGGTGTATACATATGTCAAAACTCATCAATTTCTACACTTCAATTCATCAAATTGTACACTTTCAGTACATGCAGCTTATGTTACATCATTATACATCAATAAAATTGTTTTTCTTTAAAAGGAAAGAAAATATGAAATAGTCCAGGTAATTTTTATTCTCCACACAAAATTGGTAAAATAACTATATATATTAAAAACCTGAATCAATGTTGGAAAATAAATTTGATGTTCCAATCAGTGACAGGAGGCTATTCCAAGAGGTTAATAGCCTGAGTATGGTGTAAAAATGTTCATTTAGCTTCTTCTCCGTTCTCCCACGGTGTCAGTGTCCTTGGTTATAGATGGATGCAGAGCTCACTGTTTGACCCGCTTCTGTCTTCTTCTGTTTGCACCTTTTTGCAGAGTCCATGTCAATCTAAAGTACCTTTTACCCTAAAATACATGCTTCGGTGCACTTTAATTTTCCTGCAGTAAATAAGTAGCCCTTGCTAGCTTCCCTTAAGTAACTATATAGCAAACCTGAGGGTTCTGAGACTTTGGGATCAGATAAAATTCCAAAAACCAAGCATTCTTTCCAGAGATAATTATGAATACACTGATAAATGTTTTGAAGACTATTCCTTCCCTCTGCTGGCAGGTTTCCTCAAGTATAGATATTCTTTTCCTATAAGACTAGCTACTGAAATAGTTCAAAAGTCTGCAATTGCCAGAAAGAATATGACAAAAGAAACACCAGTGGCTAGAGTGGGTTGAGAATTGGGCCTCTGAGTTAGCTCGACAAGAAGGAAACAAGAGTTTGTGTGTTGGTGTCAGAGTCACCATTCTCATTCTCGGAGCCACTTAGGATTCCCTCTCTTGGTGCCCATGAAGAAGGTGGGTCCTGAAGTCACTGCAGGGGCAGGACCTCTCTGCAAGTTAGGCGTGCTTCTCATCACTGTTTTTCTGTTCTCTTCCCCTCTGTTTTCCAATGCAACCAGTTGGACAGTGCTGCAGGGAAGAATTGGGCGCCCAGAGAACCCATTCCGAGTGGCCCTGGAATACATCTCAAGTGGAAATCGAAGCTTGTCTGCAGTGGACTTCTTTGCCCTGAAGAACTGCAGTGAAGGTATCTGAATCTGGCTTTTCCCTCCACTCCTTGGCAACTTGTTATCTTAAGTGTGTCCGTAACATGCCACCGCGATTAGCTGGGACTGTGCACAGTTATATAAAAAAGTCGATGGTGCTTTGGGGCTGATTCTGAATATTTCCAAGTGCTTCATAGCCCAGCTGATCAATTTTCAAAGATTGAGTATAACATTATATCTGCTTAATGTAAAACTTCATCAAATAGAATATAGTCTTTGTTAGATAACACATTAGCTTAACTTCCCTAGCTGCCAAGTGCTTTCAGCTATGTTTTGTTTTGTTTTGTTTTTTATTGTGGAAAATGTCAAATGTATACAAATAAATAGAATAGTGCAGTGAATCCTCATATACCCTCAACCCAGTTTCAACAATTATCAACATTCCACCATTTTTGTTTCACCTATATCTCTACTCATTCTTCACCCCATCAACTTGATAATGATTATTATTTTATTTTTTTCCTGAGGCAAAATTAATAACTAAGTATTTTTAATGATTTGATTTAAGCTATTATTAGGGACAGCATGGGAAATGGTTATATGTGAAATTTTTTGCTTGTTTTGTAAAAACCATTAGAGAATGGTCCACAGTGTCATTGAACTAATTTGCATGAATCCCACATTGTGAATTTATTTCAAGATTTATTACCAAGAGGAGGCATCTCTCTCCTGAATAAGAATTTGTTGATTTTTTTCCTTTTGCCTTTGTTGCCATGGAACTCTAAACTAAATGCAATACTCAATCACAGTAATTATATCTGTGTAGTGTTTTTGATAAGCTTATTTCCCCTCCCTCTACAGAGTTTATGATCTTCTATTCCTATTTTCAAGGTCTTATTTTATATGTGTCTTTCATTAGACATCGTCTCAAGTCTGATTGGTAAGCAGGATGAAATGGATCATCAATAGATATAAGAGGTTGATCTTTCCTTGATTCTTCAGAAGACCTAGGGTCATAATTATAAACATTGTCTCCCACATGTAAAAGGTATAGGAGACGGGTTTGAATTATACAAGTCTTAGGAGGAAGTTGCTTTTATTACTGCTATTCTTCTGCTATGCCTGCCTCTGCCCAGAGGTTCACAGGGAAGGGAACTCTCACCCGTGCCATGGAACCTATGGTCTGAGAGGCCCAAGAATGAAGTGTGGACAGGAAGGAAGCTGTGGCACTCCCAGACCTAAATCCTCAATTTAGACTATTCATGAACAACCATGAAAGCCCATAACACACAGCCATCTGTTGCATGTAGGGGTCCAGCTTTGAATCTTGCACCTCTTGGAGCTGGTATATGAAAAGGACTCCCTTAGGTAGGGAACCCACTGATCACCAGCTCCTTGTGCTGCTGTGGCTCTTCAATCATTGCTGGCCTTGCAAGAACTTTCACATAGTGCGTTTTTTTTTCCCTTTAATCAAAGCTGGTTTATGTGTGGGAAAAAGAAAAATCATCATAATGTGATAGATTGAACTTCAGCTCAAGTTGAAAAGGTGGTTAACCTGTGATGTGAGGGAATGTACAAGAAACATATGGTTTGGGAGAAAGCCAGGAGCTTGTACAAATGTTTCTGCACTCATGAACTTGGGGATTTGTGAATGTCTCCGGACATCATCAGTCCTCGCAGATGTCAAAGGTCTATGTACGGTCCAAAAGAGGCCATCTGTTGAAATGGAGCCAGTTAAAAGGAATGTGATGGGGAAAAGGTATCAGTTCCCAGAATTGGCCTAATCTCATTTCAGCAATGTCAAGAGAAGGGAATAAGAGACTACAAAACTCCAGATATAGGGCCCAGCACAAATATTCCTGCAAAAATTCTTTGTACCTTTGAATCAAGGATCTCAATCAGTTGTGCCAATTTTTCCTCTCTTGCCTCTAGAACTCCCTTTCCACCTACAAAATTCTTCCCCTGCAGCTTATGTTGCATTTGCAGTGTCTACTTCAGAGTTTAAAAGACCTGTTTCTTGTCTGCTTCTCTACCCTTATGAAACCAGGAGAGTTGACCTCTCTAACTTTCTCTCATGATCCAGAAAGTGTTTCTTCTGGCAGCACACTCTCTTAGAGGAGGGAGAAAAGAAGTCTGCCTCTAATTCTCTAGGGAAGGTGGATTGGCCAAGAGACCTAGGATGGTTCTCATGGCCCAGCTACCTTCCTTCAGAGACTCCAGGTCCAAGAACAGATGGTCTCCATGGAGAAACAGATGTTCTCTGCACTCCTTCTCTGGCTTGGACTCTTGTGGCCACCAAGGGGTGTGAAAGGATCAGTGTGGATGTGTAAAGCAGAGAGCAGAAGAACAAAGCGATCCCGGTGTTTCCTAAGAACTTCTAACCCTCCCTCCCATAGCAGAACAAATTCAAGTGCACATCAGTTGGTGTGGACAAGTTACACACATAAGAAGCATCCTAAAACTACACTTACATATTTAAAAGGAAGGAGTTATTTTGGAGGCACACTCGCCTCCAAAGCCTATTGGATGTAGACAAGGCCTCCAAGGCTTATTTGATGTAGACAAACATTGATATTTTCTGAGATCATTGCTTTGATTAGGTCATAAAGGGGAAGAGATAAGGGGAGAGAAGTAGTATCATTAAGGGAGTGAACAGGGCAGGTGACATTAGCTAGGGTTATAGATAGGTCTGCAGGATGCTTGATCTGTTTTCTGATAGTAACTTGCTCCCCTCATGATGAGGCACAGTCAGAGCATGAGGAGAAACACGTCTGTAAAACTCTACAGCCTTTCCTTTGCCCACGCGAAGAGAGGCATTATTTTAGTTAATCCAGAGAAGGCTTACAGGGGACATTGAGACAATACTCCCCACAAAGGAGATGATATCTCTCTGTGGGTGTCATCAGGGCGGAGCCCATGCCTCTTTCCTCTCTGAATCCTGACACCTATCACAGTGTGTAGCACCTAACAGGTACTCAGTTAATAAGCAATAGAAGCTAACTTCGACAGGGCACTTACTACGTGCAAAGGCAAAGTGCTGATTGATCCCTTTATGTGTATTATCGCTGTGAGCTTTACAATAATGCTAAAGAGAAGGTACTATTATCCTCATTTTACAGATAGGGAAACTGAAGCTCACAGAAGTTTCAAAACTTGCCAATGTCATTCAGTTAGGGAAAGGTAGAGCCAAGCTCAATCCTAAGTCAATCTGACCACCAAGCCAGTGTTTCTGTCCACTACATTCTGCCACCTTTGTGGAATATGTAGAGTCTGGGGTTTTATTTATTACCAGAAATGTTAGGATTATCTTTGACTCCTCCTCTTGTCTCTACATCTAAATGGCTGAGCCCTGGGCTCTAGACTTGTGGCTGCCTTGCGTCCTATCTGTTGCTGTCTAAATGTTGCTGTTGCTGCCTCTCAAATTTACCTTCTGACTTCATTTTCTCAGCAACACGCCTTAGCCAGGCCTTTGGATATGCATACTTGGACTTTGGCAGTAGCCAGCTGGCCTCCCTGATACCATTAACCACCCTTCACACTTTGCCAGACAAATCTCCCCAAAACTCCCTTTCCTTGTGGCACTTCCATGGGACTTCAGTAACTTCTTATTGCCTCCCATCTTGGAAATATAGGGGCTAGACTGAACCATCTCCCTCATTCCTGGGGCCGGGAAAGTGATGGACTGGGGATCACCCAGTTGATGGTAAAGCTGGGACTGACGTCAAGACCATCTTGGCTCTGGCCTTGGTACTCTCACCACTGCTCAGTCCTGCCTGGAAAGCCACAGTGTCTCTGCTTGATTTCCAAGGTCCTTTACAATCTGGCCCCACTGTACCTGTCCACTGTTACACCCTCTGTTCTCCCACACCTTCTGCCCTCTAGTCAGGCTGGTTTTCTGTACACTACACCAGGAATGGCCAGCTTGGTCCCAGGCCTTCCATTTGAACACAGACTCATCGTTTAAGATCCAGCTTGGGGCCAAAACCCTCCAGAACGTCATTCACAGCTACAGAAATTCTTCTTGGAAGACTTTCTCTCTGCATCTAAATTTAGCAGCTGTTTTGTAATTATTTCCCAATTAGTCATTTGGGGACTCGAACTTGAGGTTCAAGACTTTGTCTTATATTTCTTTCATTTCTCTAGGGAGCAGTTAACAGAGTGCTAAACACATAGGAAACACTACGTAAATACTTGTTGACTGATTGGTGGTTAATCAATCAATTGATAAATGCTGCTCCTGCTTTTATAGCTTTGGCCTATTACATTACTACTTTCAAAAGAAAGTAGCAGTGGGTGGAAATTGCTTGGAAGAGATTTCTCCCTGATCTTAAAAGAGCAGTTTGTATATTCAGCACTGACAGGAGGGATATCAGCCCCCAGAGACACCAATGCCTGGGCTCCCAGGGAACTCTTCCCCTATTCACAAAAACCTTTCTTCATCAGACAACCCAGAACAATAGGATTATGCAGGACACTCATCAGGACTCCTCACGTTCAGAGAAGCTTGTAGAAAAACACATGTCAGAATGGGCAGGAAGGACTAGCTTCTTGAAAAGGATTTGAAAAAGATCAGTGTGTCTCTGAGCAGCTCATAAAAATATACATCATTGCAAACACTCATCTAGCACCTTCTATACACCAGGGCCTGTTCCATGCATGTTGTATGTATTAACTCATTTAACCCTACAACAACACCATGGGGTATATATTATTATTATCAGCACTCCCATTATATGGATAGGGAAATCAAGGCACAGAGACCTGAGTAATTTACCCAAAGTCTCACAGCTGATATTGGGAAGGAGGTCTTCTGCTCCAGCATCCATGCTCTCAGCTCCACATGCTGCTGATACCTGTGGAAGGTCACTGCTGGAAAGAAGCCCAGAAAGCATCTAATACTTCTTAAGCATCCTCTCTCACCATGTGGAAACTGAATGAACAAACACCCAAAGATTTACCTTGAACTTTGACACAATAATTACTGACTACTCCAATGTGATTTCTACCTCCAACTTATGGTTGTCAAGTTCTCAGTTTTTCT